GTTGTTCCCTTTCCTTTATGTCTCCGTATCTAAAAAAAATTCTGTGAAAAACTGATGCTATTGTTCCATTTTCATGTCCAACACATTCTCTATTTTTAAGGCCGTATTGAAAACCCTCCGGGGTTACTTAATATCTCATTCTCACCTCTTCTCTCCTCCATCCATCTCTACCTGTCTGCACAGTATGAACCCAGAGGACCCGGCCGGCCCCTCTATCAGCGCCGCATCTCCTCCAGCTACCCAGATGAACCATCTCCAGCCAACGCCCACAACGCCCTGTCCCAGCAGCCCCAGCCCTGTCCGGCAGACCCCCAGGACCACCCGCACCCGCACATACAGCATCATCAGCACCCACATGCCTCCTACAGTTACCCCCCACACGAGCACCTGTGGCCCAGCAACGGTGGGGGTCCCGGTCCGTTTCAGAACATTCCATGTAACGGAGCCGGCTCACTCGCTCAGCACCGGGACCTTCTGGGTAGGTATTTTTAGGCAATACGTCCTTTTTGCTTGAATAGTTTTTGTGCTTTTGTTCTGTTTCTCATTTACTTCTTTTATCATTCTGGGCCGCCTCCTCCTCCGTGCGACAGCTTCCAAGGCGCTTCGTCAGACAGAAGAGCAGGTAAAGGCCGAGGCCACAGCAGCACAGCAGACGCATCCACACTCCCTCAACTCCCTGCAGCACCAGTTTCCTCCACTCATGCCCAATAACAAGCAGCAGCAGCAGCAGCAGCAGCAGCAGCAGCAACAACAACAACAACAGCAACAGCAACAGCCGCCACAGGCTCCCCCAGAACCCAACCAGGGGGCTCCAAATTTGAGCAAACCACCCACCATGTCTTATGCGAGCGCCCTCCGCGCTCCCCCCAAACCCCGAGCTGTTCGGCCTGAACAGGTGAAAAAGAACAGCGACCCCCTGTCCCTCCTACAAGAGCTGAGTATAGGAAGTTCAAATGGTAGCAATGGGTACTACTCCTACTTTAAATGAGTGTCACATCTCCCACAACATTAAAAAAAACAAAACAAAAAAAACTACAAAAAAAAAAGGTAAAATTATTTCTAAAAAAAAATCCACAAAAATAGTGCAAAGTGCATTTACAAATTGTTTCTATCAGTAGGTTTGTTTTCTGCATTTTGTTTCATTTTAACTTTTTATTTGTAACAAGTCATTTTTTTTCTCCTCCTGTTTCACATATCTGTGAAGAAAGTAAGTATATATAATGAATGCATTACTGGTATATATACATACTCATTATGTATATATGAATATATACTTATATTATCTACACTTGTATATGTACGTAATGCTAAAAAAAATAAAAATAAAAAAAACAAACAAAAAATAAAATACAAAAAAAAAACATTAAAAAGGTGAGGCTTGGTTGACCACTTAGCTACCAGCTCTTTTTTTTTTTTTCTTCTGAAGTTGGTTTTGTTGATTACTAAATAAGTATGTTGACGTTTTTATTTTTATTTTTTTTTATTCCTCCGTTTTGAGTGGACATTACGTCTTGATTTTCATACTACTGTAGTCGTGGTAACGGACAAAAAAGCTAAGTGGTCAACTGACAGAAACTACATGGAACAGTGTATAGAAGTAGATACAAATTTTTCCTCTAATCTGTACATATAAAGAAAATAAAAGACTGAATTGTATGCCACAGACATGTCCTTAAACTCCTTTAGCTTCCTAGCATTTTTTTTTTTTTTTTTTTTGCATTTTGAGTTCTTTTTCTTGTTTTTTCGGCTTCTCCTCTTCAACTCTTAGACATCCTTTACCTGGGAATCATCCTCCGTGATTTCGTAGTAAATGTGATTATTTATGGAAAAACTAACAATACGATTTATCGATTGCATATTTTTACTTTTCACCATCAGCAAAAAAAAAAAAAAAAAAATAGATCCAGTGTGAACTTGTCAGAAATACAAACCCCTCCCCCCATGTCATTCCTTTCCTTGCTTTATAGATCAGAAAACAAAAGACATCGGTTTCTGTGATAAGATTATCCTGAACTGCTTTGCTTGCGCGCAGTCCTTTAAAAGAAAAGAAAAAAAAAATTGTTTGTGTGTTTTTTTTTTTTCTTTTTAAACTTTTCTTTTTTTTTATCTCCCCCTTGAGACGGTAATGGGATGTCATCGGATCTGTAGTAGGGACGCTGCTCCACTAACTGCTGGACATGTGAGATGTGTTTTATGTTGCTAACAGACAGCGAAGGGGTTTTGTTGTTGTTGTTTTGTTTTTTTGTTTTTGTTGTTTTTTTTTAAGGTTACAGTACTCTGAAGGTTTGTGTACGTGAAGAGAGCTTGGCGAGGTCAGAGTGGTGTGTCATGACAGGCAGGCTGAAACAGAGGGGGTGACCAGTACTCCCAGTCAAATGTTTTTAACTCACAAAATTCTTATTATTAGCATTGTTTTGATTTGTATGTTTTTAACTGGAGAGCCCTGAAATTTGAAAATACACATGTGAAGAATACTGTAAATGTGAAGCCTGTCTGGCTTCCTTCTTACTTCTGGACGTCGTCTGGATTTTACTCGGCAAACGGCACACTTTGTATTTGACATTTGATACTGATTATTATAAACTTTCTGAACAATAATCACCACCTCCTGATGTTTGATTTCCACCACGTTTCCCATCAGGTCAAAGGAACTTCCCAAGGCTTAGTTATATTTTCTAATTTCAGGGTGTTTTTTTTAAAAGAAGAGCAGTTACTCAAATGCAGAAAAGTAGCATAAAGCTAAAACATTTGACTGTCAGTATGTTCGTTTGAGGCTGTGCATATTAAGAATGAACTGGCGACGTTGGGGAAGTTACTCCTGGTCATCCACAGAGTGAAATTATCCACTTTTTGTCTGATCTGATTGGTATATTATTGTTGCAGCGGTAGATAAATCTCATTTATTTGAATTGAAAAAAGCTGTGATGATGCGTTTGCTACAGCCACATTGTTTTTTTTTTCCTCTCTATACCTTTTCCTCTATATTGGTTGACACACAAGCAAGGCCACACATGATTTTTTTTTACTTGTGAGCAGCTGATTATTCTGCCAGTTTTTTTTATTTGAAATGCTACGATTAAAAGGCAATACTGGAAGCAGTCATCCAGTTTTTTCTGTAATTCATTAACTGTTAAAACGCCACTGCCCCCATCGACAAATTGATATAAAATAATTTTAGGAACTCATGCTGCTGTTTCATGGCTGATTAATCTCTTAGAACTTCATCAGAACCCCCCACGGCTAAATAACTTTTTAACAGTCAGCGGAGAGCTTCACACAAGGTTCTGGTTTTTATTTTGACATTGTAATTCCAAGGTCCAGATTTTTTGACTTAGCAGAGAACACGTGTAAATATGCATTTTCTAGGTATTTACAAACAAGAACTTTGGGAGCGCCTCAATTTTGTAGAAGCTGTTCAAAGAAGAGGTATGCCCTTTTTAATTATGCAAATTCACAAAAAAAAAAAAGAATAAATCTAGAAACGGACAACAACCCGGTTGGTAGTTGCAGCATCTTGTTGTGACTTTTTAGATGTTTTTTTTTTCTCTTTTTCTTTACTTTTTTTTTCTTAAGATGGTGTCTGGCTGATTTAGCAGAGGAGAATTTACGTTGCAGCTGTTACAAGACAACTTCTTTCACTGTACAATACGTATTTTTAAGTACATGTTGCTGGATTTGTCCTCTTTTTTTTCTCATCACTTCACAGTTGTACAACAATCAACATGGATTTTTATTTTTTAAATGTGAAGTCTTGTTTTCTTTTCATGCATGTTGAGATGACCTGACTGGTTTTTATCCCTGTTTTTATCAGTTTGTATTGATTTATGGATTGAAAAACAAAAAAAAAGGAAAAAAAAAAAGCTTTTGTTCAACCTACAGAGTCAAATTTTTTGGTATATTATTTGATGTGTACAATAACTTGTGACATTATCAACAAAACTATTATACTATTTTACTAATGTGTCAATCAAATATGTAATGGTTCATGTAAGTTCTGTTTTTTTTTTTTCTGCGGTTACTTAGCAGGGCTAAAGCTGAGGTTGCTCCCTGGCGTGTTTCTAAAGGATTTGTTCATTTTTGGGGAGGAATCAAGGTTTCCACAAAGCAGTCGGTTGTTGGCTAATCTCTGAAGTTGTGCAATACGAATATTTCACCGCTTCATCAGCTACGGTTTTTATTTATTTTTTTTATTTTTGATTTTTTGGAAGCAGAAGAGATTGAGCCAAAGACATTTTAAAGGGATTTTATTTTTCAATTTTTCTTTATTGCTGGTTTATTTTTAATTGCCTCACTTTTTTTTTTTTTTTTTTTTGCCCTGTCAAGAATCTTTCCAAACAGAAAAACAAGAAAAAAAATCTGGATGTTTGTTAGTAAAACTGAGAAAACGATTTTGAATATTTTCACCTCCCGTATCTGAATTTGATATGTTTTTGGAAGCCTTCTGTCTTGCCTTTTTTTTTTTTTAAGAAAACGGTGAAACCAACTGGTGTGTGTGTGTGTGTGTGTGTGTGGCGCATGGAAAGGGAGCAACCTTTTGCCCAGCTAGCAGAGAGCACTGTGTTCAGCCTTCTATAAACGCCATCTTTTCCTGTTATCTGTTGGCTCTCCTCTGTTCTTCCCTCGCTGCAGTGAATCAATGGCACACCTGTTCTCCCAGCTTCCCAGTCCCATTGGTTTCTCCCTCGTGGGTACAAAAAATAATGAATAGATCTGTTTTACTCTTCTTCATTTCAGTTGGTGGTGGTTATAATAAAGGATTTAGACTGTGTTTTAAAGGTTTATTTTCTTTTCTTTTCTTTTTTTTGTTTTTTTTTATTTGTTTCTCTATTAAAGTGTTTTTATTGAAATCGCTTGACTTCGGCCTCTTTTCATCTCGTGCATCACACGGTGGCATAAAAGAACCCTTTGTGCCCAAATTGCATACATCAGCCGGGTCACCTGGGTCTGTTGGAGGCTTTTTACTTTGGGGGAAAAAAAAAAAAAGCAATCCCAGAGACAAGTTTTCCAAAGCTTATCAAGATTTAATTTTCATTACAAAGTTATAGCAAATTACAAACACACACACACAGAAGCTACCGCATTCCAAAACGTAACCTTAACATGCCATACCCAACGAAAATAAGAAAAACTGCCAGTATAGAAAGTATTTCTGTTTGATTATTTACCTGTATGTTATCCTTCAACTGAATATTAAAGCCAAAAGTAATTTAAAATAAACAATACAAGATAGTTTGGGGTTTTTTTTTTTGCCCCCGATGCTCAGAGGCTCGTAAAATGAACGGTTGCTGCTCTGACAGATCACCAGCAGCGTGCTCTGCTTTGACACGACACCTGATTTCTGCACATGAAGGTCAAATATATTAACTTTCATCTCCATATGCACAGGACAGCATAGGGGACGGCTTTCGGTGTGTCTCAATACCCACAACCGGTGTACACAACAGTTTTAGGGGGATAATTAGTTTTCTGTTTGGAAATCTTAGTGCTTCTTTTCTGAACTCTGCATTTGGAAATAATTGAATATGACTGTCTATGATTTCAGATATATTTTTTTCTGCTTCTCTTTATCTCACGACATGTTCGTCTTTGTTCATTTTTGTCCAAAATGTTTATAAAGCTGTGGCCGACTAGCATTGCCGTTCATAATACTGCAGATTCTTGTTGCACAATGTATCCTAAGCTGCAGGTAAAAGACTCATATTGGTGGTTTAAAGATGACAAACTTCCACCGCTCAGAGTTGCATTGGTGTTCACAGCTAGATAATGAAATCGTGTTTGAATCCAGCCGGTGACAGCTCGGCATGCAGGATTAGATTCCTCCGTCAGATTGTGGATGTTCTCTGCGTTACTTATTTTATTTATTTTTTCTTAAACGCACACAATTTGTGGATGCAAATACAGGTCAGGATGCCGCATGAAGATGAACACAGTCTCTTTTTTTTTTTTTTTTTCCTCGTTGGATCAGGAGCTGTCAATAAAAAGTAAAAGGCCCCTGTATGTACACCTGCTAGAACTGAACCTTTTCCAACATGACTGGTGCTGCAGACTGGGTGGGTGTTTAGCATTCAGCCTACCGCACACACACAAACCTGCTCTGAGTAGCTGCTTGGCTCGAAAACCATTGGTTCAACTTGTGATTGAAGTGGACGTTATTCAGCTTTATGAATCCTATAGTTTAATATATAGATCTTGACCTACTTAACTGACATTGTGAGGGACTTCTTGAGTGACTCCATAAAAAATACATTAGCTATGTACAAGATATCATACATTATGCAGTACATAAAATCTAGTTACCTCCATGTCAGGCCATTACTGTATTTATTTTTATTCTCAAAATGTTAATGTCTTGTTTTTTTTAAAGCTAAGAAGTGCATGACAATGACACATGGGAGCCTGTAGTTACGCAACAATAACTTACCATCAGTCAACATTATTTCTAGACGTGCCGGCAGTAAAGTTTGAGTTGTTACAGGGAAAGGGAAGCATATTGAAAGTGCCTTTGGATGTTTGTGAATGCCATGTGGGCGAGTTCTGCTCTTACTGAGAAGCAAGGTTGGTTTAAAGCCACGGGTCAGGTTTGATAAAGAAGATAAAGGTGTTGCAGAAGACCACGTGGAGATAAGACAAACATACCAAACTCATACAAAAGGCCCGTATTCAGTGTCAGGTACATTTCCCATCATGGTAAATATTCACTAACATCAGCACCGGTTTCCCCTCGTTTTTGACTTTACTCTTTGATGACAAGCTCTTGTTCTTGAAATGAATCTAACGTGTACTCAAAACAAAAAGAAAATCAGTCTCGTCCTGGTTTTTTTTGTCCGCTCATCACTCAACTTGCTCCGGCTCGGCGTCCATGCAAGTCTCCCATGGATTCCTGGGCATCTGGGGCATGGAGAGGATGAGGAGCGCGATGCCAGTGAGGAAGAGGAGGACGAAGCCGGTGCAGGCGCAAGCGAAGGACCAGGCGTAGTAGTACTCGATCCAGATCGTTTCCTCGCTCTCGATCATGCGCTTCACCGACTGACGCATCACCTCCAGTGAGATGAAGGAGCAGAGACCTTAGAGGGAGAGAGAGGTGGAAATGTGAGTCAGGTAGCAGCGCTAACTGCAGATTTCCACCAAGTGACCATACAGGAAAAGAGATTTTTTCTTGCATCCCAAACTATATATCTAAATATAATCTTGTTGGTTAACTAAACTCACCTGCAAATGCAAAAAACATGCCAGCAGGTTTGAGGAGGTAGTCTCTTCCTTTGCCTTTACCGGTGCACGATCCAATCAAACACAGAGAGCCAAGGATCATGAAGGCCAGACTGAAGATGGAGATGGCTGCGGCTGAGATGTTGTACTCTGGAGAGAAAGAAACCAACAGTGTTGACCTTTTGTGGCTCAGGGAAAAAAATCACATCTTTTTGCACAGGTTACAGCAAAGTACAAGATTCTGAGACCAGAGCACAAAGAAAATGAAAAAGTGTCGAATGAATTTTTAAAAAACAAACACAAATAGAGGGCTGCAAGGTGGATCGGTGGTTAGCACCATTGCCTCGCAGCAAGAAGGTCGCCGGTTCGCGTCCCGGTGAGGACACCCGGGATCTTTCTGCGTAGAGTCTCCACGTTCTCCCCGTGCAGCGTGGGTTCTCTCCAGAAATTGTCCGTAGGTGTGAATGTGAGTGTGCTTGGTTGTCTGTCTCTAAGTGTAGCCCTGTGATAGACTGGTTACCTGTCCAGGGTGTCCCCTGTCTTCACCCTGAGTCAGCTGGGATAGACTCCAACCCCCCACGACCCTACTGAGGATTAAGTGGTGTATAGATAATGGATGGATTGATGGATAGTATAAAAGTCTATATTGAATACCAACAAATATTTTGCACATATTCTTTCTTGGGGTCCAATGAACCCTGAAAGACCTTCTACGTATGGCAACATGAAAGTCCTGAATAGGGTTAAGTAAAAACAGGCCTAGAAGAGTTCTGCCAAAGGACCCGAGACACTGTCCTGGTTCCTGCACTGGAAGCGTATGAGACAAGAAGAAGGCCATGACGTCCTTTAAAGTATATTATAGTATAATAATCATGAATGAACACAAAAGCTGACAGGCAGCCATTGGATGGACTTTAAAATGGGCATAATGTGCTCTCTCTCCCTCTGCTCAGCAATCAGGCAGCAGGATGACACATTACAAAGTAACCCATTACTGTAATCACATTACATTTACCTGTAAAGCAGTGAAGCTGTTAACACATTCAGCCACGAGAATACAGTCACTAATCAGTCAGTGCTTTTTTTCCGAAGCAGCAGAGCTTTGATTCTATTAAACATGCAACTGAGACCTCATTCTAACCACATTGTTCTTCTGAGAAGTGCCATTTGTGCTGGTTTTGCTGTTCTTTTTGTAGTAACACTTTGATAAAGAGCATAAAAGAAACAGCATATGTGTGTCCTCCTTAGTAGATTGGGGATTGCTCTATGGCAGGGGTGTCGACATCCGGTCCTCGAGGGCCGCAATCCTGCATGTGTTAGATGTTTCCCTCTTCCAACACACCTGATTCAAATGATCAGGATCGTTATCAGACTTCTGCAGAGCTTGATGATGAGCTGATCATTTGAATCAGGTGTGTTGGAAGAAGGAAACGTCTAAAACATGCAGGATTGCGGCCCTCCAGGACCGCAGTTCGACACCCCTGCTCTATGGGCACAGGTAAGGTTTAATTATATTGTTAATTGGCATTTATGGGACAATGCACGTCATGTGATGTTGTGGAGTAACGCAAAAGTAATGTATGAAGTAGAGTAACAAAGCAGCTAATAGTGGGAGTAAACAAGTAATGCATTACTGAGCCCAACATTTCCAGCATTGTTTCTCTTTTCTGACTCTGAGATAGAGACCAATACACACTTGAGTCTCTCTGACGTTTCTGCTGAAGACATAAAACTTAAAAAAAATAAATAAATCACATGGTTTTATTTTGAGTTACATTTTTAAAACTGCAGCCGAGCTGCAGCCTCGACTCAAACAGGGTTAAATAGCACATTTATTTTGGACTATTTTTAGTGGTGGGACAGTTTTATTCCACCGTTTTTTTTTTTTTTTTTTTTTTACAGCTACAGGGCAAAGAAGATGGGATCGACTGGAAGTGTCATCACATCACTCCAGTGCAACAGTGTGTCTCCACAACAATAGAGGTCTGTGGCACAGAGGCAACATAAATTCATTATTTGATCTTTTCATGGGGTTTGTTGATAGCAAAAAAAAAAAAAAACATAGGAAATCACAAAACTTATCCTCCAGTGCTTTTGATATTAAGGAGATAATCTTGACAGTCACAAATATCCCAACATCTAAACATCTTTGTGTTTACAGATACAGTTTGTCTGTCGAGCTGGAACAGCAGCTGGCTTGTTTTCTGAGCCGAGAGGTGGATCGGATGGGAGGCCTTTGATCTGCCGCCTGTTCGCCTGTGAACCGCACCCAGGGGAGAGGCTCTCCTTTGGGGGATGGAGCCTTCATCTTGTGCTGGCAGGGGAAGATGGGCCGCACCCCGAACGCTCTGTGTTCTCTGAGATACTGCACGAGTGTGGAGCTCGTTGGCTAACTCGAGTCTCAAAAAACACCGAAGATTCTCGACACCAGAAGAGACATCAAAAAGGTATGAGCGCTTCATGCGGGACTTGCTTCACTGGAAAAGATTTCTCAGCCTGCAGAAATACAAACATGTGACACAATTGACCCTCTGCCCCAGAGAAGGACTGGGTTTTGAGGGAATCGCCAGAAAGTGTTTAAGGTGGAAGTCACTGATTGCAGTATAAAGTACGTGATGATTTTTAGTATTTGTCTTGTGCACATGTGGATGTTCAGAGTAAGAGATAAAAAAGAACAAGTTTAATTCTTTCATGAAATTACAAAACACAGTTGATGTTGCTACAGATCCATTTCTTATAGCCTCTGTCCTTCTCTTAACTTGTAAGCTGTTCGCTTCACACACTTCATTTATTTTTTACTGCCGACATCCCGACGGCTCACAAGAGTCTTGCTGTACGTATAGATTCGTCTGCAGTGACATACATACACTATGTTCATTCAGCCTTGTGCACCATTATGGTACAGCCAAACGGCTCAGTCAAGAGTGAATAACGCTGTAGGGAGCTTAAGTCAGTGCTGCAATTATTCCAGTAAACTTGCAGTATATCTCTCAAGGGCTGGCCATCAGCAACTGGAAGCTGCATATGTGTGTGTGTGTGTGTGTGTGTGTGTGTGTGTGTGTGTGTGTGTGTGGGTGGGGGTTGGAGGATTGGGGGAGGGGTACCCATTAATCCTTACATTAACGTCTCGGGGTTTGGGGCACAACTTCATGCAAAAAGTCAATTCACATTTACACCCCAATAATTGAGTGTGACAGAGCTCCACATGTGCTCGGCCCACTTACACACTCTACATGGGAGGGCTGTCATACAACATGCGTTGGCTCGGTGAGGCCTCAGTGGTAACAGGGTCACCGAAGGGATCGGGGAGGGATGGAAGATAAAGGGAATGAGTGCTGAAAGAAATGCACAAAGCTATGAAGCGCTGACTACACTTTATGTTAAGAACATATTTTACATGGTTCCTGAGGTATCGTGTGTGAAATACTGTCAGCCTCGTGTTTGTACACATTGTGAATGATCCGCAGCTGTTATCACACAGGAGACAAATTCCAAGAAAATGTTTGAGGCATGCCATTACTCTGTAATAACTGAAATATGTAGCGTGCAATGCGGTGCCAGAGCACAGTGGCTCTATTTTTGCAAAGAGGTGGTGCTAGGCATAAGAAGCTGCAGAAAAGAGTTGGGAAAACGTAATGGAAAATCCAGCTTCTTTTCAGTTGGGATTTCATTATGTCCTGTGATAGATTTTGTCATTGAATGCTCCTGCTGCGACATCGCCGGCTGTGCCGTGGTCAAAGTGAAACATCTGAACTCACACAGAGCCGAACAGCAGCAGGTGAGGTCAGCTGGGAAACTGTGAGGCGGCCAGTCGGACTCGTTTGATGTTTCACTTCACACAGAGTAAGCAGCATACTTACAGAATTAATTCAGGAAATATTATTATTATTTTCAGACAGGATTGAATGAAGCAACCCCCAACGGTAAAACCAATACTGAAAATGTACCTTTTTGTGTTTTGTACTCGAATATCTCGGCATCCTGCCCCGGAGTGAAGTGCCTGAAGTAGGTGCAGTTTTCCTCTGTGGAAAGAAAGAAATCAGGATTTTGTACAAAGTTCTTAGATCTCATTTTAGCAGCACAATAAGTTATAAATACAACGATGACATACTGTTACCTAAAAAGTTGTTAGGATTAGTGTGTTAGCATACATCCAGCACATGTGGGAGCAACATTATTTTAAGTCATGCTTGTGTCCACACAATGAACATAAGTCAAACATCCACTCTTCTTTTTGCTCTGTTTTGGTCTCCACCAGCTCCAGAGTTAAACACGAAGCTCTTTTGAATTCCCCACTACCGTTTAAATCAGTCAAGTTCTGGGCTGTAAAATGAATGCAATGAATTAAATGACAATGAAACTGTCTGTAGAGCACAGAGCTGCAGAATCAGTGTTGTTTTTAGTTGGTCCTGTCTCATGAAATTTCAAGTCAAAATTGCTTCACATGCAAATACATGCTGTGTGCGTAAAGGCAAAGGAGGCTTTTGGAGGGACAATAGCATAATCAATAGTTAATTAAACAGGGACGATTCTGGAAACTCTCAAATGATGATCTGAGTCTCTAATTTTTAATGCATGATAATTTATTCTCTTCCATTATTTACCAAAATGTTTCTTTAATTGACATCAAGTTTCTCAAATTCAACCAAATTTTAATTGCTGTCAAATAAAAAAAAAGAAATTGTTCACCTTGTCATTGAACTAACCGCATTGTTTGCTTTTGATGTTGTGGGAGGTAAGTCTCACATTTTTTCTTTCCTCCTACAGCTGCCAAATTAATTTATGTACAAAAAACTTAATAATCTAAAGTTGTGCTTAGGGCCGGATCTTCTTACTTTGCTCACCCGCTAAACTTTTCTATTCAGATCTTTTCCATTATTAGCTGTCCTCCACCTGCCGCCATTGTGAACATCTATCGAACGCTTCACTCAGATCTATCTCACATTCTTGGTCTGCTTTGTGTGGGTTGACCGTCAAAGTAAACGTGGTTACAACAGACAACACTTTCAAATTTTTCTCATGCAGACAAGGTGTTAAACCTTTAGGGATTTGCACAAATAAAGCCAAACCGCCTTATCCGATCACACGGCGGTTTGATGGAGGAAAGGCTCTTTGATGCTTTGCCAAGTATATGTATAAAAAAAACACTGGAATCCGGTTCAGAAACAAGGCTCGGTTTACTGTCGGATCTTGATTACGTGTGACTTATCTCGCACCACGTCTGCGATTGTGGTATGAAAATGTAAACATGGTTTTAAAGCAGCTGATCAAGGGCACACAGGGCGGCTCGCGCTTAGCATCTGAGGCTGCACATCACGCAACACGAGTTTCTGAAAGCATAAGGATGTCTTGGTATTAAAAAGACATGACACAAAGGTTTGTATGATCATAGGAACGTCTATGTATGTAACACCACACCTCTCATGCAAAAGTCACGTGTACGTCAGTGATCTCGGCGGTATGAAGTCTCCACTCAGACGCATGTTCCTAATCCCTTTTTTTGAACGCTCCTGTCACAGGAAGTGAAATGCTTTCATATGGAGATACGTAGGACTTGCACGCTATCATATTTTGCTACCAGCCTGGCGACCCATGCTGGGATGGAATAGTCATTTTTTATGTGCACCCTGGAAACCATGAAAATAAGCTAAAAGGGATGTCAGGTGCCCCTAAAAGGAAATAACAGCCAGTAATTTAATATAATAGTCGCAAACAACATCTCTGAATCATGTTTTTTTTTCCAAGGCAACATTGCAATGTTTACAAAAATGCTGTGTGCGTGGGTCCACATACAAAAAAAAAAAATGATGTTTTTATGAATGAGGACAGGGACTGGCCATCACGAAAAAAAAAATAATAAAAAAAGAGAGAGAGAAAACACAGAGATTGTTACTAAGCAACAAGACCCACTGCTTTTCACTGTAGAAGGCACATATGAGGGTGTGACAGACGTTTGTCGTCTAGTTGTACTTCGCAGTCAAAAGAGAGGCTGGAAAAATAACTCTGAGTGCTTTAAAAGTCTAAATGTTCGCATTTTTAAAGAAATGCTAATCCAGCTGTGCCCTCTTTATGCCTCTGCTGTAACATAAAAGCTTTATTTTTAATGGCAGGAAACATAAGATAAGGGTTCATTTTTAGGTTCCAGGTTGAGTTCTATCGTCTCTTTATTCTCGAAATCAAAGCATACCTTGTTTGTTGTGTATGTTTGAAGGGAACAACTCACTATGATACCCTGGAGGTGAATGGCTTCCCTGTATGTGACTATGTGTGTCGCCACTTTTTGTGTCATCTTTAGATTACATGCTTTAATTAAAAAACATCAGGACGACCTCGTGGTCACAAACGAATCCGCATTCTTCAGGCTGCCACAGACAAGCACACACATCCACCAGCGTTGTGCCACTTTATTGTTGGTCCTCGACCCGCTAGACCGCACTGACAAGCCGCGTAAAGCCTCCCCTCGTTTCAAATAGGGCAATCTGTCATCTTTCCAAAGATCAGGTGAGGACATGGGATTAGCAGCATCCCTGCACATTGTCGTGTCAGGGAAATGTCTTTTATAGCGCCGATGTGTGCTGTCAATCCATTTTGTCCACAGCTAAGTTTGGCCCAGACGTCTGAGCCCATGTTTTTACTATGTTGCCTATATTTGGCTGTCGTAGCCTTCCTCATTCTTCAGTTCATGACAGGTGAAGTTGCGTTGCAGCATCAAGATAAATGTGCGTATCACTGGAATTGCATCCATTGTAGGCAAAAGAGTGGCTTTTTGAAACTTTTTTGGTAAATCATGTACCAAAATCAAAGGAAGGAAGTTGTACATTTTACATTTGCTTTTACTTCTGAGTTTGGCTCCGTAAATGTAAACACTCTCCCTCCAAATAAGTAAAGCTTTTAGCTCTATATAAACCGAGAATCCCATATGGACAGATGTTTATATAGGGGTTGAAGACATCACTGGCATCCTGTCCTCATATACCATGCCTATCCCTGGATTTGTATGGTACTTCAATACCTATGAAGGCAAAAATACCAGTGATTCCACTTCCCTTTTGGACTTTGCATCCCATCCCAAGGGAGTGTAAAGTAATTTGAGTGACTGTGTGGGCTGCTTGGAGATGTGAAGCTGCAGGAAGGTCTTGTGGGAACACTTTCGTGAGACAGCAGGCCATAAAGTTATGCCTGACTCTTTCAGGCGGCCCCGTCAGTCAGGGGAACGGCCGGACTTGGCATGAACACCTGACCCTCATGGCTTCACCCTGCACAGCTGAGTATTTACATGGCCTATATTTATAACTACAGCGACTGCTTGCTGAGCAGGTTGCACAATTTTATTTCAGAAAAGAAAAGAAAAAAAAAACCACACACGCTCGGGTAGACCTGATAGCTGTTAGGGTGTAGACCACATGGGCGTCAGTAGCATAGGCAGTCCATGGTTTGAGTCTCGACTGTTCTGAAGCTTCGTAATGCATCTTTCCTCACAATCTAATAAAAAAAAAATCATTTTGCATGTCACACACTTTCTGGAACCCTTTTGCAGTGCCATCTTTGTTTGTTGTGGCAACTGAAACCACCAAAATGTAATTAGATCACAAAATTCCAAGTGTTCTGAAGTTCTATGAAAATTAAACACTGGGTGAGCAACACGGAGGAGCTTCACAACTTAATAGAATATCTGGCGCTGCCTATTTACATTTCACAACAGCTCACAAAGCCAACTGAAAAGAGATCCAGAATGAAGTAGGACAGAGAACTCAAACCCAAAGCAGACCTCAGGTAAATGCAAAGTTTCTTAGAGCTGACACAACATAAACTGTAAAATCTGCGTTATGCGCATATTACGAGTTTTTCTGAGATCACCTCAGCGCTCGTGCTTTGTCAGCAGTTGAGCTAAACAAGTCGGCGCATATTTTCCAGTTGAGTGTCACCCAGGGAACCGGGTCTCGTCACACGGTGTTTAAGTCCTGCTTTGGATCAGAGGTTGACACGTCTCTCAGGACATGTGGCAAATGGTAAACAATAATGTTCCTCTCCAAATAGAGCTATTGGGCCTGAGGGAATCCCTCGGAGACTGATGGAACATCTATCAGATTCCCTTGCTTTATAAACAAAGGTTGCCAAGGTGGCCTTCACAAATCACACGTATTGTTTTAGATTTGTTAGCAGCACATTGCTACTGAAAAAAAGGCCTCAATAATAAATCTGCTTATATGTATTCAAAAATGAAATACTGAGGATAAAACCATTTAGCTGAAACATTTGCCACTTGTCGCTTGTCATCTGAAGAATTTCCTGTGTGACTGGGCGGGTCAAGCTGATATAGAATATTCAGCACATGCCTGCGCCGGTGAACCGCCCTCAGGCATCGCATCTGCTCCTGGAAAGGCCCTGCGGTGCCGACAGCGTCCGGGATTCCAAACGTCTAGCAGCCACCATCAGTCAGGACGTATTTTGGGAGTTTCTCTTTGTGAGTGAATCTGGGTGGGTCGTCTAGACTCGTCTCCAAAAAACGACCAACAAGCTTAGATGGCATTTAAAGATAAGACAATTGCTTCTCGGATAACAATAAATGTGCCAGCAGGGTCCCCTTCCCCCCCCCCACCTCCCCCAATTCTACAGACAAATGACTCTCATCACGAATCGCTGACATGTGAGCTTTCGCTAGTCAACAATGGCTCAAGCCTGCTTACATTTAATTCAATTACAGTGTGCCTTTTTATTCAGGCAGCTGCAGGAGCGCATCATACTGAAGCGTTGTTAGTACATCAGAATACATGACCTATAAGCTGCGATGGACAAAGTGTTCAGATCATTCACTTAATGTATTAATACCACAGTGTAAACAGATCCCCTTACAAGTTGTATTATCAGCAGAAGAACGGTCTGCATCAGAGTGTTGCGTTATATGTATGTTAGATTGCCCGACTGAATAATTGAGCAACATATTAAAGTTTTAGCACGTTGAGCGGGAAAGTCATTTAAATGCTTCGTGTGTTGTTGGGTGGCTGTTCATTCGCCTCGATGTGTGGTATCATTCTTCATATTTACTAAAATGTATGCTGCATGTAACTTACAGCTGCACAGGAAGATGAATTTTACTCTTTTTTTAACTGACCTGCTGCGTATTCACTGAAAGATTCTTATGTTGCTTAAAAAACGACATTCTCTCCAGTAACTACCTAATTATGCTGCACTTCAGGGGAAAAAAAATCTTGCATTCTTCTTTAAAAACTAGTCAGAATATTGTGGGAAAGATCACATTTTGTGTTAAGTAGCTCAACGTTGTTCTGAACTACTGCTTGTGTAAATACTATTTACTGCTCCTGTGCCTGTTAGGAACAAGCACCCATGTTTTATGGATATCAGTATCTACAGCTAGCACTATTAATTGTCAGCAAGTTCCAGGGCAGCTGGTTTTAGCAATAAAATCATCTGCCAAAGGGGAGGAGCCAGCGAGCAGAATCAGCTGTTGTGGTGTTTAGTGTTGCCTGCAGTCTGTTGTAACCCCGTGGATTATAAGCTTGGGTACGTCTGGTTGATGTCAAATATCTGCTGTGTTCGGTTTAGGTCCTTGCGGCTAACTGAGCGCTCAGGCGTCCTCTCAAGGTCTGGTCATAGTTGGTCAGCCTGGATGTTGTTACCATCGCCCTGTTGTTTGTCTAGAGGAGGAGTAGCAGACCACCGAGGTAGCTGGAGCATAATGTAAACTCTAAGACTGTGTGTCACCGTCGCCTGCTTCATCAGAACACATTTGAAAACATTTATTTTTTCACGTGTGTTTCTGAAGCCGATCGCAAACAGAAAGAGGTTTATTCCATTAATAAAGGCGACAAACATGCGACTGATAACAGGATCCTCTTTGCGTTACATGGGGAAGCTTAGAAAGTCATATGACCTGTTCAGTGATCCTGCCCCAGAGCCTCTATTCTTAGTAGCTTCATACCTCATGAACTGGGGCTGGGTTGCAGGAAGGACCTCATGCACATGCAATGTTCATGCAGCGTAGCACCAAACCTTTGCTGTAAATGGCACAGCCCCAGACACAAGACGCCAAACATGTCTTTCGGCTTTCATTTCATTTGACGTGCTCTAAAAAGTTTCCAGTCAGATTTTCTCTTACCTCCAGGCAGGCTGATGGGTCCGCAGCCGAGCCCCTCCACAAAGTTTTCCGAGCTGATGTAGATGTTCTTCTTGCACAGCCTCCACAGGCCGAAGTGGGCCGCCTCGCAGGTCTCATTGACTTTCTCCACCCGCGGGCTAAGCACTGCCCAGTGGTCCGTTACCACCGCAGTGAACATGCATGCCATACCCACCAGCAGCACGAAGACGGCAATCTTTATCTTTGTACGCTTGTGCATGTTTCCAGGTGATGAGAGTTCAGTTCAGTGAATATTCTCCCCTTGATATAATTTAACAAAAAAAAAAAAAAATCTATAAAATGTGATGTTCTGCAGTGTGGACACACCGGTCTGTGTCCCAGGGGCTTTTTTCCTCAGTGACTGCAGCAAGCTTCCCAGAAAATCTCTTCTCTTTTCCTCTCTCCACCCAAGACTAATGTCTTCTCTCCCCCTGCCGCAAATCTGTGCTTCTGGTTCGAAAGGAAAGGGGCCAGACTGCTCTGTCCTACTTTCTAGTCCCCCTTTCCCTACTCACTATGAGTTGCCGCACAGCTAAGGGGCTGCAAGTTTAGATATACAGCTGTTGAGGTAGATCAGGGAAGTTGATGACCAAACTGCCTGCCATGGTGGGCAATGGGTGTGGGGGCTGTTGCAAGTGTTAGTGTTTTTCTGGGGGTGTCGGATGCTATAAATGTGACTGGTGAGTCAAGCTGTCAGGCTGTCTTCTTATCCGGTTACATTGCCAGTGGGTGGAGATGTGTAACGTGCCACAATAAGTGGACCAACATAAACAGTTTTCCTACGACTGTATTCACACGCAAACTTTCAAAATGGATGTTTCGGCATTGTGAGAATAGTTTCCCCTACGTCTACTTTCCATCCATCGACGCTGGCTGTGTTTTCATTCTGTGCCTCACCTCGACACCGTCTTCGTGCGGATTTGTCTCTGTAAACTATTTATAAGAAGAAAGTGGATGTGTTTATAGAGAGCAACAGCTAGGCTCCAACCGACAACAGAAGCGTTTCCCCGATGGAACAATACTGCTTTTAGTAATTCCTGTCAGGATGTCCACTTGTTACCGTGCTTGTAGGCCATATTAAAACAATCATAACTGTTGCTTTATTGGACTGCTTGTTGTGGGATCTCTACAGAACCAGTGTATATTTAATGTGTCCCCAAGTTAGGGAGGATATCTCAGAAGTGGCTTTAAAATCTTAAACCACGGATGGCTGCTACACATCTGTTTAGAAATAAGCTTCTCCTGCCACAACGAAATCAATCCTGTTGTACCTAAGGAATATGAGTATGGGTACAATTACCACAATAGTAGAAATGACAATATTTAATCATTGAAAAAGAATAACTGAGCTTTCAAAAGTGTTATAAAAGCTAAAGTCGATCAAGTTTGCAGCAAATGAGGCCAAATGTCATGTAGAATGTAAAGATATGTGAACAAAAGTGTCATAGGGAACTGGTGTTTTACTGTATTGTTAACGATACTGCCGTTGGTAATGCCATTAAAAACATTTGCTTTTGATACAACAATTCATGTTTAGATATTGTTTTCTTTCTGAAAGCTCTCCACTCTGTTGTGTCAGGGTAACAAATTTCATTTTTGATGGTCACAGCCAAGCAAACTCTTCACAGCCGGTGTAAAACGAGTTTAGAAACAAGGTCTGAAACTTCTAATGATAGTCAGCAATTAGCCACAACATTAGAAGTGGATCGCTAATTTCATTACAGTGTGTTGTTCTGCTGGACCTGGCGTTCATGTGGATGTTAGTTTGATTCACGCCTCCCTCACTGGCAACAGCAAACGAAAAGTGCTCAAGGAACATGACACAGAGCTGAAGGTGTGGACTTCAAAAAAAAATCTAATCTAATGTAGCATGTGTGGTGTGCACCTAAACAAGCCTGATCGATGGAGGCCCAGTGTCCATGTCTCAGTGATTCAGAGCTGTTTTAGCAGCAAGAGGGGACCTACTAGGTGGTTTTAATGTAATGGCTGACAGTTTACTGTATAACATGCACTCTTCTACATTTGCTCATATGAAAGATAAATCAACATACAACAAAGTGGTCGCAGAACGACATCACCAAAAGGTATATTCTGTGAAATCTAGAAAGCTTTCACAGAGTTTTTCTTTAACACTTAAAAATGTACTCTGCTTTCTGGCATTAAAAAGTAGAATATTTTATGTAAAAGCTCCTTTTTTCCCCCCACAAACGTAGCTGTAAAGTAAGTGGAGGAGAAAAGGAGACGGGAGAAAACTTCAGATAAGAAAAGCACAAAAGGTGTGTTAATCCCTTTGATAACTCCTCTACGGTAACTCATGTTAGTACATTATTTTTTTTTTCTTTCTTTTTATAAGCGTTGGCCCACTTTGAGTCTCTTTATAAGAATCGTGACCCACTTCCCCCCGGTGTGAGCAGAGGCACCAGTGAAAGTCAAAAAGTTGTCACAGCAACCAAGTAGAACCTTGAGAAATCAGTGCAAACCAGCACATGTGACACACAAACATATGCGTGTGAGCTGAGAGATCCGTCAGTCACCTACATTCACCCGCTTACTGTATGTTCCTGAAAACAGACTTCTGAAGGTCCTCAATGAAAAGGCAGGGCTCCACTTTGACTCTGTTGTTGGTAGCGCTACTGTTTTACACTTTCTTTCTCTTTCTGTTTGTAAATCAGGCCGTTCTTACTATCACTAATGACGGTGACTCTTTACTGAGATGTGGCAGCGTGAGGATAGGGCAACTTTACAATAGATTCTGTCTCACTTTGCTAGCTGGATCATCTGGTAAATTCAAATGGTACCTCCAGAATGTCGGCATTAAATCGGAGGCGTCTTCTCCCAAAGTGTCCATTGTAATCATTCATCCATCCTAGCAGTGGAGCTGATGGATGTTTAGATAATAACTGATTTTCACAAATGGATTCCAGTAGATGTGTTCTAAAGCTGCTTGATGTGACGCTTCACCGATTCCACTGTAAAGCTGACTTGATTCCATCCATCCATTCATTATCTACACACCGCTTAATCCTCACGAGGGTCGTGGGGGGCTGGAGTCTATCCCAGCCGACTTAGGGCGAAGGCAGGGGACACCCTGGACAGGTCACCAGTCTATCACAGGGCTACACTTAGAGACAGACAACCAAGCACACTCACATTCACACCTACGGACAATTTAGAATCACCAATTAACCTCAGCATGTTTTTGGACTGTGGGAGGAAGCCGGAGAACCCGGAGAGAACCCACACTGCACGGGGAGAACATGGAGACTCCACGCAGAAAGATTCCGGTGCCCCCACCGGGACGCGAACCGGCAACCTTCTTGCTGCGAGGCAACAGTGCTATCAACTGCGTCACCCTGCAGCCCTGACTTGATTCCACATTTTGCTAAATCATTAAGTGTCAGGTTTCCCTTTGATGAGTTGCTTCATCGATCGTCTGTCACTGGACGTCCAAAATTGTGACAACGTTAATGTGTTTCGTCTCTCTTCAGAAGAATATCACAGCGGGAAATGTTCCAGATTGTGATGAGGTAAAGGATATTTGAAGGCAGTCTGTGACTTTAAATGCCTCACAGCGAGAAGGTCCTCGAGCTGCTGCCTGAGTTTGCATGTTCTTCCCTCATCTGCATTATTTACGAGGCTCTGATGTGCTGAAGTTCATGTGAGGTGAAGCTGTGGTGGGAAAAGAGACACTTTTTGTTTGTTTTTCATGATGTTAAAGCTAAATTGATTTTATGGCTGAAATAGATGCTCAATTAATAGGTAGGTAACTGTCAAAAGTTGTGATAATAGATTAACTGTCATTGATGAAGGAATAATACTGAACATTCACTGTTTTAGTCTTCAGCTATATGTTGTTGTTTTTTTAACCCCTTTTCTTTCTTTAAAATGAGTTTAGGACTATAGGTCAGCCAAATTTGAAAACATTTTTTTATTATTTTATGACATTTTAAGATTAAATCATGAATAATATTGTCATAGAAATATTCTCGAGATTATCCAGTAATGTAGATCATTCTTATTTGCAGTCTGAGTGAATGTTTCCATAAACAGAAACACATATTTCGAACAAAATCAAACATTTGATGCTACTGTAAATATTACAGAATATATATAATTTGTTTTTATAACTAGCCCAAGAGGTGAAGGCCCCTACCAGGGATTTTTTTTGTATCCAGATCAGTAATAGTGAAAAATGTGGGGAAAAAACGTTGTCAGTAGATGGGTCAGTATCTCCAACGAACCGAGTTTATGTGATTTATGTTTTATGTATATATGATAATAATTAGAAATCACTTTATTAGATTCATTGTCATTTGTAAGTTCTGATGTTTTACCTTTTTTCTTTAAAAATTCAATTTTCTCCAAATGTCGTTATTGTTGATCACCACTGATACACAGTTTTTGAGTATAGGTGGTTTAATGTGTGTGTCTCTGTGAGTAGAGGAAGTGCAGGTGGTTTGTCTGTGTGTTTGTGTGTATTCAGGTGTGCTATGTGACACTCTGTGTGCGCTGGCCTGGATGACTTACCAGATAAACAACCCTCAGTGAAGCCTTAATTAGTCCTTCACACACCTCACCATTGTTTCTGATTGATGGCGCTGACATAATCACTTTAAAAAGAGCAACAGCACCTGACCTCAGATACATTAGCCAGGTCGACCTCTGACCTTTGCTGCGCTGGGAGAGCCACACTGGAGCTGCAGGTCTGACTCTGGGTCCTCAGGGAGGCTTGTGGCTCGTCAAATAACTTCCAGGAGGGACACAATCTCATCCTGCGGACTAATGGTGTGGACAGAACCTGAACCACTAAATCCATTGATTGTAATCACAGAGGACGCGAGGCAGCATCGACTATGGCTTATCATGACGGCTTCTCAACTGCAGCGATAAACCTTGTTGTGGGCCAAAGGAGCCAGTGATCACTTGGTGGAAAGTTATGAGGTCATCTTCGGTCTCAGCTGATGAAAGCTGGTTTATTTCTTGAAATGTGGACACGGACAACATGATGGTGTAATAACTGATGATCACGATCACTTAAATCAATCACATGGAGCTATTTGAGCGCACTGATTGACTTTTGATGATAGAAATATTACAAGGATCCTACAGGTTCATAATTTAATGTTTTGGGTCTACTAGAATATGTTTTCATGCTTTAATGTTCAAAACACTGCTTTAACACCTCTTCACACAGTCTGAAACATTTCATAGAGTGTTTTTTTTTGAGGGACGCCGCACTGCAATTTCAACTCTCTATTGTGTATCTTCTTTTTTTAAGTAATTTTTTTGGCCTTTGTGCCTTTATTTGACAGTGTAGTGCAGAGAGACAGGAAAGTGGAGGAGAAGACGTATGGGAAAGGGTCATGAGCGAGATTTGAACCCATGACCTCCACATTGGGACTGTAGCCCTGTACATGGGACGCCAGCTCAACCTGGTGAGCTGTAGCTCTATTGTGTATCTTGCCACTGTGGCCATTCTCAGGTGATTTTCTTCTTCTTTTGACATCCACCAGACCTCACCACTTCTGTCAGGACTAAAGGACGATCGCTGCCTTCTACAGATCCAGCTTTCCGTTGTTATGTCCATTTTTTTTTTTTTTTTAAATTTTTCTTCTTAGGGACTTCTTTCTAGGGGTTGAAAACCATAATCGGACCTATAAATTCATTTAGTTGTTGTATTGTGATATTATGTAATGGTAAGAAACTCGACTTGTGTGTCATGGACTTCAGTAAATTATGATGGGGAAATGACTGCCTGTGAAGCAATAAAACAGATGTTTCTTTTCCACTTAGTCCTCTTTTAAAATTAAAAAGAAAAAAAAAAATCAGAGCAATTTCTCAGCAAAATGATACACATCAAAACAAAACAACAATAAAAAACATAAATGTGTCACAAACGTCATATATTAAAATACAGATCATTACAGCCTGTTAAGCAATAGAAACAGATGTTGCATTTCCTTTAACTCTTTTTTTACATTTTATTTCAGGGTAATTTCTCAGCAAAAATGATGCAAAACAAAAACAAAACAAAAACATGGAAGCAATTAAAGCCATTCTGTATTTACAGGCTTGGTACTACCATATGTTATACATCACTGATATATTTTATAATTTCAGCTGAAACAATGAAAGTGCTCCACCCGGGCAACAGAGGGCGGAAGGTTGTGACAAATTACGTAACAGAAATATAAATCTCTCTGCTCTAATCTCACATCTGTGGCTGTAATGACGCCATTTCTCTTGTTTGTTTCCCCCAGTCAGTGCACTGATTTGGATCTTAGAAATAAAAATGGTGTCACTGGATCCCACTTCTCTTGGAAAGACCTTCTAAACTTTAACCAAACAAATTGTTACAAAACTTCTATCTGCTTCTTAAGACACATCGAACACCTTGTAAGATTTTTTTTTCTTTTCTGTTGCCCTTATTTAAAAGGAGCTGCAGAGGAATGGCATGCAGGAAAGGTCTGCCTGGCACTGGGGGTCTCCAACCCTGCTGACAGCACTTACACCCATGTGGCGCGCACCCTAACCACTCTGCAACATATAGCATTTTTAAAGGTTTTACTTCCACAGTTTTTAAGGGAAGCTTGACATCAGATAAGCTGGACTGTAAAATAATTAGCCGCGTTGCGCCGCACACCTACGCACCATCCACATCTGATGTTTTTCATGTGTCACAGCGGATGAAAAAAGGGGTTAAGCTCCAACTGCTGCTGGCTAAATCCAGTCTTAGCGCAGAGACAGATGTCATCCTAATGGAGGCCTGCGGTTCCCGGATCGACAGTATGGCACCGGTATCAACAGGGAGCGAAGGAATCGAACCCCCTGCTGGGAAAAATGTCAGCCATTTTAAATTTTCAAAAAGAACTTCGGAGTACAGCGAGAGGGGGCCCGCGGAGATGATCTCGCCGAGGGAAATCACGTCTGACTTTCACGTTCATTCTATAGCCTCAAAGTACACGCTGTGCTAATAAAGTTATCATATTAAACCGTGTGCTGCTGTTTCCCTCATATGCATGAATGGAAATGCTCTCCAAACATCAACATGGGGTTTGGCGTTGTTCTCTCCACCTGGGATGTTGCAGAATTTTGATGATAACAATTACAGCTGCTTTTTAAAATCAAGTTAAAAAAGTCACCGCTGGCTGTAAATGCTCTGTTATGGCATGTCATGTATCAGGTTTGGTGTATAGATAGCTTCTGCACAAACTGTTATCTTCTACCATTACAAAGACAGAACACGAGTTATGTCATTTCATCCGTCCCGCACAGCGAGCTACCGATGCTAACAAGCGCGCCGTCCGGTCCTGCGACTGCACGGAGAGGTGACCGCGCCATTTTCCTCTCAATTACGGGTGATGTTTCGCTGGCACACGACAGCAGGGAGGGGCAGCAGCTTTAATGTGGATGAAAATATCAGTAAGGGTCCAGGGCATTCAAATTCACAGGGTTTAACGGTTCGGGTGAAGGGTGAAGAAGAATTGCTCAAATTCGGATTTGGAAAGGGAGACAAGGTCATCAAACCAGTTTGGCATAACAAAAATACATCACATGCATCCAGGGTGGAAATAAGTCGATTAGAATTCAAGGCATCCTCTTGTCCGACTCAATGGCTTGAATGACGGCTATAGCTGGGAGAGCAGGAACTTGCTGCATGTCCTCTCATGGCCCTGCATGTCCAAACCCACACAGCAACCTCTCTGACCCCGATTCACAAACCAACAGCCAAATTAAGCCAATTGCAGCTTCTGCTAGAAAATATTCAACTGGGACACAAGCCGTAAAGCAGATATGGAAGCCAGCCAAGCGTGCACGATAACAAAAATGAGTAATTTGAACTTCTACCAGCACTCCATACACACACACACAACAACTCCCTTTTACTCCAGCTCTTGTTTGGAGACAAGCAGACAAGCTTTTCGAAGTCTGGATGAGCATTTGGGAGCCTGTTAGTTCAGTCAAGCATTAAGTTGGCTGATGCCGATTTCCTTTAACACCCTGTGGTTGCCCGACTGTCTGCCGTGCAGCTTCATAGCAGAACATAACAGGCCCATCAACCCTGCGTCATTACCTAAATATGTCCTCTATGAGGAAAAGCAAAAAGCTGTGAAAAAAAACGCCATGTTGTCTCTTCGGACCAATTCTCAGCTCGTATTTTGCTTTAAGGTACGAGTGAAGTTAGCTGTAATTATGGAGTTGACTTTTGGAATTTGCCTCCACATTTAGCTGACCTAGCATTTGTAAAGGTATAAAAAAACTATTTAGGTAATTAATTGTTCAGCTAAGGATGTTAAATGCTAACATTTCAAGCTAGACTGCTGGTCATTACTTAGAATTTGCTGCTTTTCTTTGTCTTTTGCAATAACAAATTTAATTTTAAAAGGGTATCTGTGACTTTTTAGCGATATTTCAGATATAATAAATACTTCCCTAGACATTTATATGTTCTAAAATTGCTTTTCAACCCACTTCCACAACATTTTTTGCACATTGAAATTTGAAGCTATGTTTGGATGACAATGTCTCAGGAACTGTTAAAAGTAAAAGCATTTCTCTGTTATTTCTAATCATGCCATGGTTTAGGAATCTCAATATTGGACAAGTATATAAAACATTTTTTAATTATGGCTGAGTTGAAATATGAAAAACATTGAACCTATCATACAAAGTCCCATCTTTGAGCAGAGATTAACAGAAACATTGATAATGCAGAAGTCGACAAGTGATACTTTCTGAACCACATGTAGGTGCAAGTCATAATATTACAGAGCAAAACATAAAGAATACTTTTTAATTAGCAGTTTTAATCAGTATTAAGTTGTTTAATTGAACTTTCATAACTCAGGGAGATCCGGTGTCTCCACATGTGCTCCTCTTGTTAATGATTATTTATTTGATCCTTATGTGAGGTAACCTAACAGAAGTCGGTCATACAGCATCTTAAGAATTAGTGCGTGGGTTTTTGAACTACAAAACAGCGAGACACGACTAGCCATAGCGATGTTAGCTCACAAGCTAGCACCTGCTCCGGCGTGATCACTCCAGACTGCATGAAAGAACTGATCGACAGCATCCGATCTGATGTCTCAGCAATCAAGAGTTCAGTTGAGTTGCGGAGCTCCATCCCTCAGCTGCAGACCAAAGTGGTCAACAATGAGCTTTCATAACTGATTGAACAGGTTCAAGTCAATTCAATTCAATTCAATTCGATTCAGTTTTATTTATATAGTGCATATTTACAACAAGTCATCTCATAGCGCTTAACAAAGGCAGGAACACCCAACAATCCAAAACATTTGGATTCCCTATAAGCGTCAGCAGCCCGCAAGAGTGGGAAGGAACCAAAAAACCAGGCTCAGGGAGGAATGGCCATCTACATCGACCGGTTGGGTGGGTGTGGGATGAATTATACAATTTAGTGTACAGTTAAACAAGTTATTAGAGGTTATTGTCCTTTTGTTCCTCCATTTCAAATGGACCAATGAAATATTCCATTTCGTAGTTGGTGGAGGTAACAGGAGGCATCGTGATGGGGGCAGCAGAAGGTGAGGCCAGGGGCTGTAGTTTAGGAGCTTCGAGTTTTAACTTGGACACCTGAACTCCTCCTGAGCAGATGTTTTGGAACAGCAGACATGTGAAATGTGTACTTTACCTTTACTCTAACCCCTTACCCTAACCCTTACCCTAATCCCTTACCCTTACCCTAACCCTAACCCCTTACCCTAAAGCCTCACCCTAGCCCTAACAGAAATATTGCTTGATATCCTGATCCAAGTAAAACAGATTTCTGGAGTTTCAAAATAGTTCACATCTTCATATTTGAGCTCACCCATTATCAGAGATTATTTGATCTACTTTGGATCTACTTGATCTGCAGCGTAGAGCCTTGAATTTTCAAGTGGGTTGATTTTTTATTTTTTTTTAATCATTTTGTCCAGTTAAGTATTTGATATAACAATGAGAAATACATTCTTAAATATCCATGTTTACTGCAATCAAAAATTTAGGAAAATCAGAGGTGATCAAGCCAACATTGTTCTAAAACACCCTAAAAGAAATGTTCGGGACAAACTTTTTTCTTCAAGAGTTGTGCACGAAAATCAACCAAATAAAAAAAATTGGTTCTTTATACAACTTTAGCAATTACATGTCATAATAATTTTCCCCCAGTATCCATTATGCAAAAGCAGCAAAACAAAGCCACGTAACTACATCCTGACACAAAATGATTTATTGTTTCTCGTCAATTCTTTGAAAATCATCGTTTCTTCTTGATGGGGAGCAATACAGAAATACTTTACATATGAATCTACAAGTGTGTTTTCTTGCAGCATGATCAAGAATCTGTACCAGACAAAACAAAACAAAACAAAAAAAACTTTGAACACAAAGGCAGTAAATGCAGAAACAAGAGTTAATTAACAGCAACGCACACAGAGCATGATCTCACCTCTGCTTTAACACGCACACCAACTGTAACAGTCTGTCTGGCTTCGGTAAGGAATTCATTAGTTCCCTACATCGTCCCTGAGTGAATGGAGAGTAAACTACACGGGCTGTCTGTACAAATAATGTCTACACTAATGCACCTCACAGCATACTGGAATGTACTGAATGTACGGCGCGCCTCGGCATCCTCGTTAATCCATATCTACAGGTATCCATACTCATAGGATGAATGTGTCTTAGTGTGGCAGTGTTTCAAAGCCGTAACACACACTCACATCATACTGCAACATTTATCACAGAACTCACATAGAAGTTTGAGAGAGAGGTTATTGAGATACAATAAAAGTGTTTAAATGGGGAGTCGAGAAGGCTTAAGATCATCAAAGGTGAACAGATTAGCACCATTTGTGTTAAGTTACAAACAAGTACAACACGATAATACTCCGATAACAATCACATGAATCACTTTCCATTTTAAAACACCAATTCAGAAGAAAAACATTGTTACCATAAATTCAATACTCTGAATCTTTAATATATCGAGCCTTAAGTCTACAAAAGGTTAATCCTCTTATTAGGCAGAGCCACTGAGTGACTACCTTTAAAGGATACCAGTACAGGTAAAAGATTTTCAAGGCTTTCTGTAAGAGCTGAAGTTCCTTTCTTTTCAAACGGCAGGCGTCATATTTTAAAACTCTTCAAACATTGCTACAAAATTTCTGCAACCAATTTTTAAAGAGTCCTATCAAAGAAAATGACTTTGATATGAGCGTTCCTCCTCCACCAAATGAAGCATTCGCACTTTTCTGTCTCAGAGGGATGTGAGAAAACCTATTCTGAGCTCTGACCTTTCAGCATCGCTACCGTGTGAACAGTCCTGGGGAGAAATTGTCCATTCTCATCAACTGTACAACCTCTAATGTGTTCCATCAAGCTTATTGTTTAGCACAACAATAGACTCCTGACCTCATACGGGCGTGGTCCTCCGGTTCACTCCATCCTTCATGTCTTTCTGGAAGCAGTTGTGCACTTGTAAAAACCCAGAGTCCCTCTCGGGGCTGTAGGGGCCTGCAGTCCCGCTCCCACCCTTCAAAGGGTCCCTGCTGAGGGCGTACAGGGATACATCCCCCATTGGCAAACCCATCCCCAGCCCTCCTCCCCCTCCTCCCCCTGCACCAATCTTCAGTCCCACCGGGGACGGATCACGGGACGGGTCGGTTGACCTCGAACTGGACCGTGAGCGCCGTCGTCTGTAGCGGTAACTCGGTATGCGAGAGTACGGGGACGAGGACGAGGTGGTTTTGATGAAGTCACGTTTGGCTCTGAAGCGCGTCTCTTTGTTTTTCTCGATATATATGTTGACTGCGAGGACGCCCACCGACTCGGCCACGATGAAGGAGAGGGCACCGAAGTAGAAGGACCAGCCGTAGTTGTACTGGTTCTTCTTGTCCTCGTCCTTCTTGTCACTGGGATCTCCAGCATTGCTGGAGATGTAGACAATGATGCCAATGATGTTGCTCAAGCCTGAAGAAGGGGACAAACAAGAGAAGGAAAGATGTAGTGAGAAATATTAATACTCAGATGCTAAGAATAACAAAAAGCACTGTTTACTCTCGGAGCCCCCCAAGCAGTTTCTGGGGGGTTTTTGGCTCCTGACATTTTTATTTGCATCTCTATGGAAACAGCAGAATCGTGGCCAGAAGCAGAAAGAACTCAAAAATGTCTTATGTGTAGTGCAACAAAGTCACAAACTGTAAAAACAAACAAACTAAAGCTGTTTTTTTTTACTTGCTTATTTAAAAAGAAAGAGAAATAAAAGGAATCAACAGTACAACCTGTTTAACAGCTATTACCGACAACAGAAAAAACAGGGGCTCCACATCACATGGATGTTTTACACAGCCTGCAGTTCAGCCCTTGACTTTGTGTCATGTGACGACTGATCGCAGATGAGTCAGTAATGGCTTTCTGTTGGAGCACTCAGGTTTTTAAGCTTAGATTTGCCTAATTTTAAAAGTGGAACAGCACGCCATTGATGAGTAGTTCAAGGACTGTCAGAAAGTTGGAAATCTTTCTCTTTTTGCAGTTTCTGGCTCTGACAAATGTTGTCATTTTGGTGTTTTTTAGGGTTTTTTGGTCAGAGGGTTAATAAGAACAATTATTACTAAAACCTAAAGGTTGTTATATAGTGGATATATATTTTTACAACTCTCCATGTGGGTCACAGCACTGTGTGGGTGTGCAAAGCTGCAGTATAAGAATTAAACACACTTCTTTTGCTGATCTCAAAGTAGAAGAAATATCTTCTTTTGTATAAAGGAAAATTTAGGAGGTCTTTGAATGAACTGAACTGAACTGAATTCATGTCCTTCTCCTCCTTTCAGTTTGTGGCATTGCACAAAATCTGCTTCTACCAGTTTGTGTTTTTATCTAAAGCACACTGTCAGTCTTGTCCTACCTGCAGCCACAAACAGGATGCCTGCACTCAGCAGGATGTTGTTTTTGCTGCTGTAGATGCGTCCAATCCCGACACACAGGCCGCCCAACATGAGAAGGATGGTGCTCAGGATGGGGAACAGGCTTGATGCACGAACTATACCTGTTCACACAAGACAGAGAGAGAGTGAAGCTTTCCTGTCAATGCAAATGAGATCATAAATCACTTCTAAAGTAGAGGCCAGGCACTAAATTGGCTGGACAATGTTACTCGCCACACAAATACGTTGGTGTTGGCACATGGAGACATGTTGGCTGACAAGTAGTGGTGTACTGGCTGCTGGGCATACCAGGACAATCCCAGTGTGCCGGTGGGACATCGGCATTACTGTATGATGTTACTTTGACATGTACCAACCATCTGAACAGTGTTGCACAAGTGCTGCTGCTATGAGTCCTGCTGTTAGGGAGTGCCATTAGGGCAATGGCACTCCCTAACAGCAGGACAATGCACCCTGTTTTAGAACAAGCAACACTACAAAGAGATAGAAGTGATAACCCCATAGATATGTATAATAAAGGCTAGATGTCTTAAGGCAGCGTTTTGAATGGGATCACCCTTCGGCCATCTTGATTTGGGGCAGTTCTCTGGCAGAACCTGTGGTACGTGAAGGAAGGTGAGTGATCTGCACACATAAATACTCTTATCTCGCTGAAATCTTTACAAACGGTTTGGTTTCTTACAAACGTTATTAATGTGGCTACAATTTAAATTACAAAAATACTAATAAAATACAAAATAATTAAAATACAAATTGTTGTTGGTCGTGAGAGTGTAACATAATTATCCATAAGCGCAGTGTTATAGCTACACCTCTGACATTTAGAACAAACCAAACCGTTTGAAAATCGGTAGAAAATTGAGCAAGTTATGGTTATTTAAAAAGTACATGCACCACGACAACATAATGCTATGGGTGAGCGAGCGCACCGTACCAAGATGGCCGCCAGTGTGGCTGTGCGTTTCCATTGGCCGACAGCGTGGGCGAGACATCTAGCCTTTATTATACATATCTATGGTTAACCCAGCCTTCACGTTCCACAGAGCACCAGAACAAATCCAATCCATAGAAGCCCCATCTTACAACCCACTGGACCCACAGCATCCTGGTGCCAGACACCAGTGTACACCTTTAGAGGTCCCATGTTCCTGTCATGACCAGTTAAATCTGTTTGGTGGCACCAGGGTACCTACACAGGTGGTTAATGGCTCAGATGGTGCAGTAGGTTGTCCACAGATTGTAAGGTTGACGGTTTGATCCCCGGCCTCTCCCTGTGTTTTCTTGGGCAAGACAGTGAACCCTAAACTTCTTCTGATAGCAGTCAAGTACCTCTACTGCTACTGAGGTGTGAGCTGGTGATAAGCAACACATTTGGAAAGCGCTTTGGAGAACGTAGTTGTTGTTGTTGTTATAAAGTAATATAAATAACGGAAAATATCCCCCTCAGATTACGTAGACCATTGCCCACAACCTTTTGATAATAACATGTCAGTAGTCCTAACCAGGAATGTTTCTGTGTGTTTTCTTTTCCCCATTTTCTATTTGTTGGCCTGTTGTTCTTTCTAGATGGAAAAAGCACCAATATGTCTGCTGAGTTTAAGTTGTGGTTGGCTCATGAGGTAGAGCAGGTTGGTCACTAATAGCAAGCTTGGCAGTTCAATCCTCTTCCTCTCCACACCCACAACTCTGCCCTTAGTCAAGACACTGAACTTCCCACTGATGGCAGGGTCAATGACAAACACATTGTAAAGTGCTTTTCACTTTGGTTGAGTTAGTGCCGACCATTTACCAATCCATTGTAATTAGATTTGATCTTTCATATTTCAACACTGGCTTTGGTCTAAATGTCCAATAGGACTGGTCACGTTTCACTGGACAGTACTTATTATATTCATAAAAGCATTTGATTTATTTATTCACCTTGTGTTTCTATTATTATTATTCTCATAAAGTCATAATTTAAGCACAGTTTGCTAGTATTAGAATCAGTTGTTGTTACACAATGGAGACATCTCCAGACATTTAACTTGCATTCAATTATCACAGAGGGAATATTGTGTCAGACATGATTCAATAAGAAGTCTAACTACTATAATGCATGCACAGCACTGTACCACTTACACTTCGGTTTAATGCAATTTCTGCTCCTGAAATAGCACCATATGGCAGATCTGCTACAAGTGGAACAAAAGAAGTGAAAGAAACTTCAGGTTTTAAGGGATGAACGTCTCTACGTAAACTAAGATAAATGCTAAGGCCTAATTTGCAGAAGCCGCTCCATAACACTGACCAAGTGAGCACATAATTTAATTTTCCCGAGCTTATTGAAATTCATCAATGTAGACAACAGTATAAATGGCAGCGGTTGCCTCAGGCTACAGGGAATCAAACTAGACACAAAATATAGCATGCTGAGTGTGGCTGATCGCAAAGCTCGACTGATTGGAATGAAGCTGTTGAAAGGTTTTGGTTTTTTTTTTTCTTTCTACGATACTTTGGTCAAACATAAAACCTGCTCTTATATGGGTAAACTCTGCCCCCTTTTTTTCCCCCAGACTACTCCCTTCACCCAGCACACTTTATCATCTCTATGGCTCCAATTACTGTCATGACATCAGGCTTTTATGGGGAACGGATAGAGATGTCATGACACATTAAGTAGCCTTGTGATAACTCCATCACCACTCAGGATAAAAAAGAGAGGATTAAGGGGTTGAAGTGTTTGAAGAGGGTTGCAGCGACTTACGTAAGATGTACTCTGAGCTGTCTGTATCGTAGTCGTTATCCTCTGGAAAGTGATTGATACGAAAACAGCTTCCTTTGTTGATACCTGTGGAGAAGCCAAAAGCACGGCGAGTGAGAACGTGACTGATGGCAGCAGCAGTCTGTTGCAGGTAAGAAATGACAGCAGTTACGGGGGAAAATACTGTGTCTCCTTAATGAAGTTTGACACGAGAAGACAGAGGGTATGAAAGGAACAACCCATCGACCGTTCACTCAATCAGCATGCAACTTTTATGATCCCGAGACAAATAAGTTGTATAAAGCAGGAGTCTTTTTTTCCTTCCACCCTTCTTTTTTGGATGAAGAATATCTAAGCTTGTGCTGAAATGTCCTGTTTTCACCTCTAACCATGTCAGAAACCATTTGAGGACGGACTGCTGTGGATCTGAGGTTCTGAAGTTCTCAAGCCCTCGGGCACCTTCTATTCAAAGATCTCGGTCTCTTCACTGAGAAAATCTTCCCTCCACTTTTAAGAGAATAAAACATTGGAGGATTATGAATATTGAAAGGTTAGACTTTGAATTAAAAGTCTGACTCCTGACTTTGCCGTCACGGCCTTTCAAGTCTGCCTTTGTTGCCGTGTTAGCTGCCGTGGCGCCGCATTAAACACCTGAAACACACCTTCAGATGTCACATGCTTCATGTGCGTTAGGACGTACAAACACGAACTAGAATGCAGCTGGACACGGACGGACACAGCTTGAAGTCAAGTCATGTCAAATAACACTGACTTGACTGGACTTGACTTGGATTCTCACACATACACTCATATGCTGTTAGAGAGAATGTAGCAGCATGAAAACCACTCAGATATTGTTGTGGTAGAAGAAAATGTTCGATGCGCCATGTTGCAGTTTCAGAACATGCTGTTAAAATAAAGTCTCTGTTCTTGTAGTGGAAAGATGAGCTTAAAAATACAGTACAAATTATAATACTAGAAACCAAACCAAGGCATAGGCATGTCTGAAATCATGATAAAGTCTGTATAGCTCCTTTTTAATAGTTTGTGCAACATCAGTTTCCATATCATGTCGAGCATTTCATGTGCAATATTTCATATTTTCATTTCTTTGGTGTAATGTTTCAGTTTTATGCTCAATATTTCATTTTCTTTTTTCAGGTGCAATATAATATTTCATTTTTTTCATTATCATGCGTGATACTACTAATTACCCCCGAATAATTGCCAGAATTACTTTTTGACTGTTCCATTCTAGCCTCATTTCAGCCAATTATTTCCATAATTTCAGTAATTTATCATACTTATTGCTTTTTACTTTCAGGCACTGCATTTCTTCTGTTATCTCATTAGTTCTTTTTTTCCCTGAACAATATCTGGCAACAAGAATTTCCTTTGGGATTAATAAAGTTATCTTTTCTTATCGTATCGTACCGTACCGTATCGTATCGTATCATATCGTATCTCTTTAAATGTGTAAATTCCAAATTGCTAATGTGAACATGTTACATGCCAAGTAAAGGTCAGCCTGTAAGAAAACATTGTTCACCTTCTGTTAATTTAGTCAATTTGAATTTAAAGATTGTAGACATGCAATAAATATTACATTACGTTTTCTTCTTCTTATATATACGTACTTCAACAGCTCTCAGTGATGTGCGTCTGTTTCTGTCTGAGTTTTTTGTGCTAGTTTTTGATCAGTACTTACGCAATGAAGCAGTGCTGCTATAAATGGCAGACCTCCCCTCCAGAGGTTTTACATTTTATCATTAAATGACAGACGTAACACACCAAGAAACACTATTAAACTAACAAAAACTAGCAAACATGGATCTAAATAGTAAAGGATTTTGTCTGTGTGGATTCTCCAGGTCATGGTAAACCTTCAGTAAAAGGCAACTGGACTTTGCTTTTTGGTTCCTGAAAACATGGCACCTCTCCTTGAAGAGGTTTCCTCGGTTTTAACTGAGTTCAACCTGCTAGAACTGTTCCTCCATTAGAACTGTGGAACCTTCTTGAATGAAAGTGGGAGCTTTTTCAAGAACCAAAAGGAGCCATCCAGCTGCCTTCTACTGAAACCCTTAGAAAAACGCAGGAGTTTAAATATTTTAACAAGTGGCTGAATGTTTTTAAGATGGTATATTTAAAAGGGATCTCCAGGGTACCATTAAAGCCAATCTACTACATGCACCAGTCTGTCTGTTGCTCGCTGTCACTCAGCCTTGGTTAAATGTGCTTCTACAAATCCTGGAAACAGGTCTTCTGGTGACGTCTGTGAGGGCGTTTACACCATTTGTTGTGAGCGTGACCAGCAGTGAGCGGAGCCGTGGCCGCAAAATCAAAATCAGTGTGGCTGATTAGCTGCAACCGCTGGCTGTTTCTTCCATGCCTGAGTGGCTTTACGCAGCGTCTGGCTGCATGGCATTTTGAGAGACACAGCTCATTTGGATGAGTTACACATTTTGGGGCAGAAATGTTTCATGAGGGAGGAAATGCATTCAGCGTGTTTGTTGTGCTATAGCAGTACATAGAATGTGACACAATGAGTGCAAACAAAACACAGGCAGAGCAACTTGTACATTTCCTATTCAGCGTGTTTAATTTATGTCTCTGTGACCACCAGCACGCAATTTTGATGTGTCACTTGTCTGCGAAATTCACCGCTTTTCACAGGTAACGTCTGAGAAAGCTTGGAATGAGAATTAAAGTGAAGCAGGGATAAAGTGATGAAACACGCCAGAGTCAGTCTGTCGCCTCCACGCTCTCAGTCTCACTCTTTCAGTCTATTTCAACACTTCTTTTTTCCCCCCCCAACACTCTTTTCTATCTCACCACTATCATGCCTCAAAAACCCACATCCCTCTTGTGTTCTAAACTGTTTACCTCTTTAACCCTGTTTCAGTAGAATTTTTAAGGACCAAGAACACTCTTTGGATCAATACACAGAAGGCCAGCGAGGAAATAATCAGAGGAATGATGATAAAAAGATCGAGCAGAGAGAAAGAGACTGAGCCGACTAGGGGAGGTATCTCCCCAGAGCCCATCTGTCTGAGAGACCGGAGCCCATCTTTTATTACTCAGCATAGCTTCACCATAGCAACCTTCCCCCAGCAACCCAGAATCACATTTCTAGCTTCGCTTCTCAGAGGACGCCTTTGACATCTTACTAATGCATTCACCAGGCTAACACACACACACACAAACTCAGATCCTTCCACAGAAACATGCGACACACACACACACACACACACACACACACACACACACACACACACACTAACAAAGGCACAAGGCCAGAAAGCAGTCTTTATGATGCAGAGAAGCTAAAGAATCACCTACAGAAAAGAAAAAAACTTGAAATGATGGTGGTTAAACGCAAATGATCATTTTAAGCTGGACTGAATGTTCCCTTTAATCGAGCTCAAGTTCCTTAAGTGAGAGTTCTTGTTGTGTTTCAGCATGACTGGCTGCAGAGCGAGACTTCGCTTGGTTTGCTTTAAAAAAAGTTCTTTTTCCACCAGTGGTCACTTTCAGTGAACCTCTAGAAGGTTCTACATTACATACAGATGACTGTTTGGCACATAGAGGCACGCATAATTTCGTCAGCAAAGGCCAAAATCTCCCGAGGATTAACCATCATGAAGCTCGTTTTCCCTAATTTAACTGTTTGAACTCCATAAATGTACAACTTTGACTCCTAAAAAACAAATCAATCACTCTCTAAGGGACAATATGCACAAGGGCGGCAGGAACTGAAAGAATAATTTTAAATTTTTTGACATTTAA